AGTTATATATGAGTTATACTTATATTTCTCTAGCTATAGTAGTTGTAGTTATATATGTGTTATACATATACTTCTCTAGCTATAGTAGTTGTAGTTATATATGAGTTATACTTATATTTCTCTAGCTATAGTAGTTGTAGTTATATATGAGTCATACATATACTTCTCTAGCTATTGTTGTTGTAGTTATATATGAGTTATACATATACTTCTCTAGCTATAGTAGTTGTAGTTATATATGAGTTATAAATATTACTTTAGCTACAGTATAGATGTACTTATATATGTTTAGTTTCAGGTATACTTTTCTTTTTGCAGTAGCTGAAGTTGTATAAATATATGTATATATATTTATACACTTCTCTGACCATGAACTACTTAATCCAATTAATTTTATTTTCCGGTTTTTGTAGCGAAATTCCAGAATTATCAATATATTCTTTGTCTTTTTTTGAGGAGAGGGGCAAACATCATTAAAAACTTTATATAATACATTGATTATCCTTCTTTTTAGATCGCTCTTTATTGAGATGGGTAAGGGCGAGAAAACTGAAGGAGATATCTGCTGTCCTATCAAGATGAAAACAGGCAAGATTAAACATTTAAATTTTACAAGATTTATTTTAGGAATTTTAATAAAAGATTTTACATTCTCTGTTTCTGAAACTAACTAATCTTTGCAAAGATTAGAACGGCTCTTAATTAAGAAAATGTCTCATTAAAAGTGTTTTATTAATTAAAATGTGTTTTAGGAGTTCAGATAATTGGCGGGGTTCTCTCTATCCTGAGTGGAGTGCTGCTAGTTTTATACTTTGCTAAACTAGATTCCCTCATCAGTGCAAAATATCAGCAGAGCTTTGGAGTAAGTTTCTGCAACCTTATTATCTACAACACTATCATTTTGATGGATATTTTCTCTTGTTAGAGAAGGATTATAGATTATTGATATTTCAATAATTGATAAATGCTCAAACTTCTTCATACAGAGAAAATTAAGATAAAAAAAATATATTCAAGAAATATTCAATGATATGCCCCAAGCAAAACATGCATTGATTGTAAATATTTTCAATTTTTACAAATTGCAATCAATACGTTCATATTCAAATTTATTAAATCATTTAAGGTATAAGAAAACCAATTAAAGATAATGAATTGCATTGATAAATTAAGTTTCCATTCACTGAAAACTAGACAGAAGAAGACAGTACTTCTCAATATCTTACTTATACAAGATTACAATCTTACATGAAATGTACTTTAGTTTGACGTGCACTCAGTTAAAGCGTTACAAAGGCAATCCTTTAACTTTGTCTGAGAAAAACTGATGAAGATATTCATTTTTATCTGAAAGTAGATTATTTTTAAATGCGGATTCTTTGAAAAATAAAGAAAGAAAAATGCCAATATATTCCTTACCTTGTTTTTTTACTTAAATACAGTTTAGAATCTGAAAAGTGGTTCTGTAAAGGGAGGGAAACTTAAAACTCGTCTACTGCAGTCACTTTATTGCTAAAAAAACTAATTTTATTGTTATAGTATTTATTTTCAAACACAAAATACAAAATAATAATGTATGATGGTTCAGCTTAAAATAAAACACAAAAGAAAATTTATTATGAGCCAATTGAAAATATAATGTTTGATAATTTTGTTTGATCGATTTTGTTGAAACAAAGTATACATATTGAAATCTCAACTAAATATACATTCATTGTGCATTTACAAGTAGATAATTAGTCAGCACTTAAATAATCAAAACATTTTCAGGAATGCATTCATAATCCAAATTATGTTTAGAAGGAGATGAGCCGGGCCCAGTTAACCCTGATCGCTGGTTCAATACTCCTCGCTGTTATGGTCAACATTCTTCTCATACTCGGGGGAACAGGGAAAAAGTAAGTTTATTCCTTTTGTTTATTAAATTTTTTCTTCTTATAAAATGACTTGAACAAATATTAAAAGATCAGAAATGAAATTATAGAGTGGACTTCATAAAGGAACTGATTACTAGCCACAAAATCAAATTTTTTATCTCAATATCTGTGAAATCTGATATTATAAATAAATTGAAGAGGACTGATTTTTTTTTACAAAACTCGGATACACATATACGTAAGAAATGAGTATGTAAAGCCTTTCGTGTAATAACCACGGAAAGAAGAAAAAACGTAAGGAAAAAAATATTTTAAACAAGAAAACAAAAAAGATTGTTTTTAGTGAGTGGAGCCCTATCAATAGATAAATTACGTTTGCGAAGTTTTTATTCTCTTTATTGTTAGGCTCATTCATCCAAACAAAATTGGTATTGGTTGGTAAATAGCTGATATATATTGGGAACAAACAAACAAAACAAATAGTAGATATAGGTATAGATAAGATAGGAAATTGTAAAAAGTTCTCTCAAAATTTTTTTTTTAATTCTATCAAACGACTTTATAATGTACGTACTCCTTATCCTAAAAATGTTGCAACATCGGCCTAAAAATATGGAAAACATTGACAAATAAAAGTTTTATAATGGTGTCAATAATAAATAAGCAAAAGGTTAAGAAGTTTACAGCTGTAGGGAACTGCGAGTTAAAGCAAAAAAAAAGACTAAATAAGTCGTTTCTGAAGTCTCATCCTTTGAGTGTAACATGCATGTAGGTCGAAAATGGAAATATTGACTGTTAACCATTGAAAAACTTCTCTGGATTCCATCTGCATATAATCGCCCTAATACATATATATATATTAGTTTAATTGATTTAGTCTTTTGTTTCAAAGTTCTTCTAAAATGGTATCTAGGAACTGATTACCTACTAGCTCAAACTTAAATTTTCCCATCCCTTTATCCTGGCAACCTGACGGTGTAAACCTTTACTATTTGAAATATTAAAGATCTACGACATCTGGATATATCTGGATAAATCTGGATAAAAAATGTTGAGGCATTTAATAATTTCTATTTCAGGCCTGCTCCCGCGAACTTATCAATTGTTGCCTTAAAGATACTGTGCTAAATTTCAAGTGACCCTCCATGCAAAGATGGCAATTGGCAATGGTTGATTTACAACGGTACCCTTGAAAACTTCGTCGGATCAAGTATGAACTATCTGTATCAATGTTTTTGCGTTTTTTGGTTTGTTTTAATTTCCGGTTTATCTGTTTTGTGCATTTCTTGTTTATAGGAAGCAATGGAGAAACGCACAGAAATAAACACCTTTCTAGTCAGGAAAACGTCGGTATCTTTCAAAATTTTTATCCGATTAAGGTTTCAAGGGTAAAATCAGGCATTAAGATGCATGGAGGTTCGCTTGAGATTACGCTTACAGTCCCTTTAATTTGGCGTATTTACATAGAACTCCATAATTATTCAACTTTTGTATATATTAGATGGAGACGAGCTCTACTCCTGCCCTGGCTTCTCTTCTATGGTAAATAAAAAAAAGAATTTCATAAAGTTTTTGTTTTCTAATTATATTTAAATCTTTTTCAGGTGCAGGAATAATACTTTGTTTAATCCTTCATCTTTACTATACATCACTTTGCTGGAGGGAGGAGAAGGGAATAATAGAATATATATCCGGAAAGGAAGTATCTACTATTAGAAAAGATACGATGAAAGACGGTGAACTCAAGGAAGAAACAATAAAGAAAGCAACTAAGAAGAAAGGAACGCCAAATCAATGAACATTAAACGAATGAACGTGAAGAGAATAACTAGAAGAAGAAATACTAGAGGAAGGAACACAACTGGAAGGAACAATAGATCGGAAGGAACGCTAGAGAAAAGGAACACTAGAGAAGGAACACTAGAGAAAGAAACATTCGAGGAAGAAACACTAGATGAAGGAACGCAAGAAGAAGGAACACTAGAGGAAGAAATACTAGAGAGTGGAACATTAAGGGAAGAAACACTAGAGAAAGGAACAATAGAGGAAGGAACACTAGAAGAAGGAATACTAGAGGAAGGAATACTACAGGAAGGAACATAAGAGCAAGGAACACCAGAGGAAAGAACACTAGAGAAAGGAACATCAGAAGAAGGAACACTAGAGGAAGGAACATTACAGGAAGGAGCACTAGAGGGAGGAACACTAGATAAAGGATTACTAGAGGAAGGAAAAATAGAGAAAGGAACATTAAAGGAAGAAACCCAAGAAGAAGGAACACTAGAGGAAGGAACACTAGAGGAAGGAACACTAGATGAAGGAACACTAGAGGAAAAACACTAGAGTAAGGAACACTAGAGGAAGGAACACTAGAAGAAGGAACACTAGAGGAAGGAACACTAGAGGAAGGAACACTAGAGGAAGGACCACTAGAGAACGGATTATTAGAGGAAGGAACACTAGAAGAAGGAACACTAGAGGAAGGAACACTAGAGAAAGGAACACAAGAAGAAGGAACACTAAAGGAAGGAACGCTAGAAGAAGGAACACTAGAGGAAGGAACACTAGAAGAAGAAACATTAGAGGAAACCCACTAGAGGAAGGAAGAATCAAAACAGGAAGCTAGAAAAAGATACAAAAGAAGAAAGCTAGAGGGAAAAACGCCGAGAAAGTAATGTATAAAAGGAATATATACCGAATTAACATATTCCTATTGTCGTCAGATAATAGAATGACATTTCCGTGCCAATAGAGCGAAAAGGAATTCTTTTACAAGAAATTCTCTTTTCAGAGTAGAAGAAAATACATTCTACACACAAAGAAATGCATATAAAAACTCAAAAAAAGAAAGAATGGGGGGTTGGGGGTTGGGATAGCGTTTCAGTTAGATGATCCTTGGTCATCCAAATTGTTTTATGTGTCATCTTGAATTTTCTTTTCCTTGAATTTGAAAAGAACTGAGTTTTTGACACTAAATCTGATTTGTTACCCGTATATTTTTGCAACCCGATGTCGTAGACCTTTGGTTTTTCAATGAAATCTGCACATATAAAATAGTCCAAGTTTTAAACATCAAAGGACTAAGCCCGTTTTTTAGTTTGTGTCAAGAGCTCAGTTCCTAAATTCTTGCTTATTATTTCAGATCATTGGTATGGTTTGCCTGGGTTCAGGTTTCCTGTTCCTTGTTATCTGGTCTCTAGTTTGGATTGTAGCAGCTGAGATGGGAGACAAACAAAAAACCCTGATCTCCAGACCAAACCCTTTGGGGTTTCAACGTCTTTAAGCTCCTACTCTAACCTCGGTCTGGAACTAACCCCGGAGAGATCCGGGAGAGATAATACTCATTCGAATGTTTCCAGTATTTTGAACCAACCTGATATTTTTGACCTCCTAGTTAAACCTTCTCTAATATCTTCCAAGTGTTCTAACCCTGAGCGTATTGTTGAACTGAGCTGTTCTACTGAACCTGGAGAAAAAATTCGAACCCTACCAAGGAGCAGGGTTCACTCTAAGTATATTTTATCAGATAAAAAGAGTTTCCGAGATGAAGATTTAGTCTGGCTGTGATTCATTTATTTAAAATATACCCTGACTCCGCTAAACTTTCTGTCTAGGGAACTAAATACTTGCATCAAACCATAATTTTCTAATTTTTATATCTTTGCAATTCGATTTCATAGATTTTTGATATTTCAAACAACACAGTGTGCTATATCGATAATTAATGGTTTACACCAACAGGTTGTAAAGATATAGAGATTTTAATATTGAAGTTTGCATGGCAATTAATCGGTTCCTTTCTTTTAGTTCTGTCAAAGAGAAAGGGTTTGTTGACATTTACTCTTCTAATATACTAACCAACGATACTAACCTAAACACCGTTTTTTATTTATTTGTAAATATGTGTAATATCTCAATTATCTATTTTTTCAGAAACCTCAATTTTACAGTTACCTATAAACCTTTTTATTTAAATTTTTTTTTAATGTAAACCCACAAAACAGAAATATGGAGAGTTTTTAAATCCGTTGATGTTCCTGTTGTAATTTTCGTTGTACATTGTAAATACAAGCAGCTTGTACATTGTAAATACAAGCAGTGTGTACATTGTAATTACAAGCAGCATGTACATTGTAAATACAAGCAGCATGTTACATTGTAAATACAAGCAGCATGTACATATTGTAAATACAAGCAGCATGTACATTGTAAATACAAGCATCATGTACTTTGTAAATACAAGCAGCATGTACATTGTACATAATCAATTAAAAAATAATTTTCCTTTCTTTTTATTCACGATATGTTTACCAAATACAATCGGTGCGGCGCTGGACTACTCAGAAAAAAAAGTCTCCTATTTAGAATGTAATTTCAATACCTCATCTAGTATTTAGTATTTATAATCTGAAGGATCCTTATCCTGCATATAACCTTTAACCAAAGACATAATTCAATATGTTATTAACATTCTTACCGCCATTTTTTAAAAAGAACAAAAAAGAGTAAAATGTGCTACACATTAATTTTTTCACTTAATTCTTTAAAGTTTTATACAAAAATCAAATTCAGGAGTAATTTTTTTCTACAAACGGAAATACTATTAAAATGTATTATATTCTTAAAGAGAGAGAACTTGATTTTTATGTCTATCTCATTTGAAAAATACTGCTGCACAATATATGTTAAACTTTTCTTTGTGTGATTTATATATATTTAAGAAATTACGATCTATGAATGAGTTTTATACCCTCAAAACTCATGAAGACTCCTTTTAACGATGTATTTATTTTTGAATATCATAATGGTTTTATACATAATACAGGGGGTCCACAAATGAGGAGAACACACGGACGACTGAACAGATTTCAATATCATGGTTCAATGTTACTGTTTAAGATAAAACCCATAGTAGTATTTAATAAGCTCCAGGTCGTCATTCAAATCTTACCCTTTGTTTAGCTAAGGGCCTTCATATTTAGGCCTTTAATATTTGTTCTTATCTTTCTACTATAATTCTATCAAGAATATTTTGTAAACACGTGGCAAGGACTCTTTTGATATATAAAAACGAACACTGTATGTAAATCATAAAACTCCCACAACTCAAATTTTCTAATATCTATATCTCTGCAATCTGATGATCTAAACCTATGATATTAAAACTTAGATTATTTGATCTAACAGAAATTGGAAATATCTAAGATCTATGACATCAAGGGTTGCAAAGATGATATAAAGATTAGAAAATTAGAGTTTGTGACACAGTCCCAATTCTTTTGTACAAAAAACACATGTTCTATCAACCTTGAATCATATTGATTTACTATAGTACTTGAAAACTAGATTTTTTATGAGATTTGGAGCATTTCTCGCGACCCAAGAGGCGGCTTAAGGGGTGGGAATGAGGGGACACCCCCCAATCTGGAAAAAAATGGGCTCGCAACCAGGGAGAGAGAACAGCTTCTAGACCCTTTAATTTGATTTTTAAAATTGGAATTTTAAAAAATTTCTTTAAGGAGAAGAAAATTTCGATGTGCTTCGTGTGTAATATTTTTATTTTTTATTGATAAATCATCCTTGCGTTATATTTAGATTTTTTGTGATTTAACATGAATAGAAGTTTTTTCTGTTCTCTTAAAATACTCTGTATAATTTTAAGTTTTTATATTTGTATTTGATTGCGAGACACCATAATTTGTTAAATGTTTTTATATATTAAAATGTTTATGTTTATTAAGATTATTAATAAATGTAATCCTTTTTTAGAATTTATTTCAAATGAACTAGACACACTGAGAGATTTCATTTAAACATGAATATTAAACCTGTAACTCTTCACTAAAAGATTACTAAGGCACGTTTTCTCTCTCAAAAAAAACACAAATTCTTAAAATATCCTTCCTTTTCCTTGCTCCATAAATCTGGAAGTCAGCTTGGTTTACCATAATAGAAAAATATCAATTTTCAGAAAAACATTAAAATGAAACAATCTTAAAAAAATAAAAATTAAAAAATCGAATAAAGTCGGAAATCCTCCTGGCATGGAAAACATCAATGGAGCCTGAATTGTTCAAATCTGTTTCTCTTAATAATATTTCAAATCTGAAAAAAATAACTGATAATATATTTTTATTTTAGCATTTATGTAAAAATTGTGTAAATTGAAATCATAATCATAAAAAAATTTAATTTAAAATGTTTCACAAAAATATTTATTAGAACATTTAGTTAGACTAGACTAGAATAAATGCAATTTCACATAACATGGCACATATAAAGTGATCAAATATACAGGCTGCAACCATTATGTACTTTTTTAGAGGACACACTGTACACTTTTCACAGTTCACCCTGCACATTAAACTATTTTATAACAAATCGAATTTAAATAATTACGTTAAGTATTTCGAACAATGAATTAAACATCATAGTTCCGAACATAAACAAAAACTTACAGTTTACAGTTTTCAATCAATTCTAAAATAATCAATAATTGTTTTATTTACAGTGGTGGCCCTGGACCCATTACAATTCAATGCAGATATGAAACATATAAAAACAGAAACATCAGAATATAGAACCAGAAAATCACACCAATTACTAATATCAATTCACATTTTCAATGTGTTAAAAAATCAAGTTTCACGACGGAAATTTCAGACGGGTTATGTTTATTAAAGGGGCTGAATCACAACGGTACCCTGTAAATCTTTATCGGATCAACAACGTGGAAGATATCGTCGTTTTTCTATCAGAAATCTGCAGAAACCATAATTGAAAATCATCTTTTTTAAAAGCTAAAAAAGCATACTTGATCATACAAATCTGAATCGGATATACCATTTGAAATTTCGTCTATTGTCCCTTTAAGACTAAAGTTTAAAGATTATATCGGATAACTATGAATAAATATGTAAATATGTTGATGTTGATGAAATCGAATTTTTTGAAAATTAAACAATAACAATCAGAGTAAGTATACTTGCCATCTTATATAGAAAAAAAACCCTACCAAATAATTAATAAAAATGCTAATGGAAGATGCTTGGATGGGTTAGAGAATCTAGGATTAATAGAAAAGAACATGTATAGTTCTAGGGTGGGTAGGAAAAGGCGTGCGTTGGTCTAGGGTTGGTAGAAGACGTGTTTCGCTCTAAGACGGATAGGAGGGAGCCTGTTCAGTTCTAGGACGGATAGGAGAAGACGAGTTCAGCACTAGGACGAATAGGAGAAGACGAGTTCAGCTCTAGGACGGATAGGAGGGAACGTGTTCAGCTCTAGGACGGATAGGAGAAGACATATCCGGATTTGCTTTTGCTGAAGTGTGGTAGAGTTGTATTTGGATCCTGCTGGAATACAATAGTTTTACTATTCCCTCCCATGAAGCAATGGATCTCTTCACTCACTTTCACTTTCAGGTTCTCAACTCTGAACAAAAAGTATTTTAAGGGACTTTGGACATAATTGAAGATACTGCAGTTGTATATGAGAGGAAATCAATAAATAAATGGTCATTTTAAAAAATATCTTAGGTCTCACCCTCTTATTGTAGCAAGGACAGCTATAAGCTCTCCAACTCTGTCTTCGTTCTGAGGAGAATGAAGAGAGAATACAAGATCCTTCTTATCCCGCATATGTAGGACGACTAGCTGATGGGATCCAGCTCCGCAGGTTACTCCGACTACATCGGACAGTCTGTCGGATCTCATCACCTTTCCTTTCCTGTAAAACATAAAATTAAGCAAAGCAAATAAAGCAAACTTATTGGGCTACAATCCACATATTAAAGATTCAAAGCATTTAAATTATTCTCAATAGCTTTCCAATTAAAGGAGTCGTGAATCATGATTAAAACACACAAAATAAGGGAACTGTACATTTGCTTCTGCGAACTCTAACTTTTTAATCCCTATGTCTTTGCAAAATTAAGTTGTAGGCTTTTGATATTTCAAACAATAATAGCTTTAAGATCAAATAGTAAGAATTTGATCATAGTTTTAAACCACCAGGTTGCAAAGATAAATGGACAAGAAAATCGCAGTTTGAGCGAAAACAAACAAAACTAACTAATGTGTTATTTTCCTGAAACAAACTTGTCATGTTCAATTTTTTATAAATTCCTACAGAACATATCTTTTCTGATGGTTAATACTGAGTTTAAAAGTTAGTTTAAGTTTAAGTAAGCTAATCAGTTACTCGCTATTAATGTTTTAAAACAGATTCTTGGCATCTATTTCTTTGCCTAAACCTGTCTGGTGGTTAATTCTGAGTTTAAAAGTTAGTTTAGGTTTAAGTAAGCTAATCAGGTTACTCGCTATTAATGTTTTAAAACAAATTCTTGGCATCTATTTCTTTGCCTAAACCTGTCTGATGGTTAGTTCTGATTAGGTTTAAGTAAGCTAATCAGTTCCTCGCTATTAATGTTTTAAAACAGATTCTTGACATATATTTCTTTGTCTAAACCTGTCTGCTGGTTAAAAGTACAAACCCATTGAATATTGAAATATTGAATAACTTCTCATATTGTAATTTTTTAAATAGTCTTTCCAAAGAAACAATTAACTAACATAGATATTTAATAAGGAATTTATTATTAGACTAAAACTTTAGAAGGCTGAATCACCCTTATAATCATAGGTTTCACTCTTCAAGGGGGGGGAGCTAAGCTGTATACACCCCGAAAGCATTCAAAATTTTAAAGGTCAAAATTCAGGTTACATTTAGCTAATGAAATTATAAAATTAGAATAAATGGTTTCTTTCTAACCTTGGATCCACTTTGTAAATCCAGGTCTCACTGATAATCATAAATCTATCATTCGTCTTGTTGAAATGATTCAGTTTCATAACCTAGACAACAAGATAATTATAGTTATTGATTCAACTTTAATCAAATTTAAATATGTTTAAGTTTCTAAAATGTTCACCTTAGAGGAGAATATAATATTATTTCCTCCGTCTTTAGCTCTAACTTCTTGTAGCGCTGCCTTGAACAGTGGCTCCGTGTTCTCCAGACTCAAATAGTCTCCGTACCATCTCCGTCCTGATCCCCACTCTCTCCGGTCCCGCCCCAGCAGGTCGTAAGCCAGGATTTTCCTTTGGAGCATATCACGATCCTCTGGAGGTATTCTCTTGATCACTTGATATCCTCTCCATCTTCGGTACATTGCCTGAAATATGGAAATATGTAGTTACTCGTAGAGATCTATTTTCTACTCCTGAGCTGAGATTTTAAACATAGAACCCAACCTTCAGCATTCCTTACGCTCAGGTTTTCCCTTTGGTCTACATTTAGACCCAATGATTCTAATTGTTTCTGATTTGACCATTGAGACCGCTCTGTCTGCAAAATGATCAACAAATCAGCTGATAGATCTAGATTGCCTCCGTGTAAATTTAGAAAACTCAAACTTTACATATGTATACTATTTACAGCTCTGTTCATTTTATAAATCTAGCCAATTCTAATTCCGGAGATTTCAAATGTAAAAATATTATAGTATTTACGAAATTTACGTTATTTAGCCTTCGGAGACTCAAGCCTTGAAAAGTTGAAAAACCAAGCCTATTGGGTTTTACCTCAAGTCTTCCCTAAACTCGAGTCTTGGCTTAAGCTTTACTTGGGCTTATATAGACGCTAAGACCGGGTTTACTCGGGTTTAAGGTTTTAAAATCTCAGCTCTGGTCTACTTGGATCTATTCTCTACCACTAGACTACCTTGATATGTAGTACATAGTACAAAAGTATACTTGTTTACTGACCTGAAACTTGTTTGCAGTATGTTTGAGTGCTCTGGGTGGTGCAGGCCATTCAAGTGATGATCCGTAATCTTTCATACTCTTAACATTTCTAAACAATGTATTGTTAAATTCAAATTATTCATAATTGTTCTGAAAGATATTCTTAGCAAAATGTAATAAATAAGTAAAAAAGTATCTGGGACAATTGTCAGAGCTTATCTAGATGTTTACCTGAAGGTGGTGTTCAGAGAGTTTATGTATGATCTCATCTTAAACTTCCTGTATCTTCTCCAGANCGCCGTTTACCCGCGCTTGGTCTTAATTTACGATTTAGCTATTTTTCACTATAAAAGTGACCTACTTAACTTAGAATCTCAAAATCAAGCTAAGCACATTTCCGTGGTTCTCCCGAGTTCCCCAAACAAAATTTGAGACAAATCTTTCCTGGGATTCATGAGTTATGATCGGACATCCAAAAAAAAAAACAGAATTACAACTTTATTTATAGACAAAAGAGTTAGACATTTTTAATTGTGTTGAATTGATATAGGGATTACAAAATTAGAGTCTGTAGCAAATACTCAACTCCTGTCTCCGGCAGCTGTTCACTTCTTTTCTTTCGTAGTCAAACCGTTTATTTGATCGTAAGGCATAAGACCAAGTTTTAATTCGTCTTAAAGGGACTATAAGCGTAGTTTTAACTGACCATCTTTATGCAAATATAGCAACGTCCGATTCACAACGGTGCCATTGAAACCTTTATCTGATCAATAATGTGAAAGACATTGTAGTTTTTATAGAGTGTTTAACTCTGATGATTCTTATAAGTTTTCCTGCAGTAGAAACGCACATATTTGTAAAGAATTCACAATTTAAAAAAGATCAGTTTTTAAAACTATAAACAATAATATATAATAATCTAATTCATTTTTAACCAAACAAAACTTTTAAAGGTACTACTGTAAATTTAAAGATGAGATGAAAATACCTTTGTTGTTCAAGTTTGAAAAGTGTTGACGGAGATCTGATAAAAATCTTAGTTTTCCCAAAAGTGACGTCATTCAGGAGACCCTTATCTTCCAATAAAACCTAGAAATAAGTTTTATTTACAAGAAATTTTAATAAGATAAGAGTGAACCGTGCATATTTTATGGAATGATGTAAATGTAATATGTATGTTACATATTTGCAATGCACGTTAAACTAAAGTAAATTGCATTTAAGATTGAACACTTACATGTTTTCAATCATAACTCCTCTTTTTGAAAAGCTATTAAAAAGGACAGACCGGCTATGTAAGGTAGTTGAACTGAGTATGCAATTTTGTGGACAAATTCTTTGGGATTCATGTGAGTTTGAGCGCAGAGTCGACGTTTAAAATCGTACTTTTGGGTGGATACGTTTTCAGAATTTTTTATAATTATTGAATAACGACGACATAAAATGTAAACAAAATTCTACAGTAAATTAATTAGTTGTTTAGGAACAGGTTGAGAAAATAAAAATTAATCATATCATCGAATTTCATTATTTTGAACGTCGACTATGCACTCAAACTTAGTAATTATTCATCGTGGAAACGTTCGTCTCAAGTGACTCTTAAAGAATTTGTCCACAACACAATATACTCAGTTTAATTTCTAAAATGTAACCGGATATATCTTTCTCATACTCGTGCGTAAAATGAAAACTAGAGGTCACAAAGTTGAATCAATAATGTCACATTAATTTGTCCTTTTCCTTCTTTCTAGTTCAGTGGGATTATATGCTTACATGTGGATTTTAAAAACATATAAAAATATTTAAATATACCATCTATATATAAATTTGGCTTGTCTGTCTGGGTGTTTGTCTGTTTGTTTGTATCCAATAAACGTCAAAACGGCTGAACCGATCGGGCCCAAAATTTTGTGGGACTATAGGGACCCCAGGGAAGGTTTATGAATGATCAAAATTTTAAATATTTGTCTCCATCAAAATTCGATCTTCATTAATTTTTTTAAAATTTTGAAAATCCACGAAAATTTTTGTGAAAATCCGTGAATTATTTTTGTTTTGTTTTATAATATGTGAAATTGATATAAACAATGAACAAAATGTTTAAATACTAAATTTACTTATTCTTCATATTAAAGAAACCGATAACTTGCTTTGCTACAAATTCAAATTATTAAATTCCCATATCTTTATTTATTATTTATTATATATCTTTATTTATTCTGAGACCTTTAACGTTTCAATCTTTGACTATTTGATCAAGCACAATTAATAAATTGAAAAATCAAAGGGTTACAACATCAGGTAGCAAAGATATAAGGATTTGAGTTTCTAGCGATTATTCACTTAACTTTTCGATTTAAAACTTGAACAAAATGTACCTTTGTTCCCTCTTCATCGTTTCCTTCTTTAAAGTTTGGCCAGGTGAACCTCGAGATCATCTTGTATCTCCTAAATTCATATTTAAAATAACTATTTTATTTTAATCATTTAATTATAGTCAGAACTGATCGTACACAGATTAATTTAATTCCTGTTTAGAAGTAGTCACTACCCTGCAGCCGGATAACTTGAATTAAGGATAAGGAAAGCATTTATCGTCAATTTTTAAAAAGCCCTCATTGGATATCGAGATTAACGATACTCCATAAAAAGTTTTTACATCTGAAAAATGAAGGTAAATAGAGGTTGGGACTTTAGTGTATAGTACTATAGTACCTTTTATCATTAATCTTGGAAAGTTTAGTTTTTGTTTAATAACCTTTCGGTTATTTTAAGAATAAATTAAATTTTTAGATTTTTATAATATTTTCTTTTCTATGTAAGGACGGTTTACCTGAGAAATCTCCAGTACTCTTGTCTGTATGCGAACCCGGCTCTACGGACACGAACATTCTCAATCAGACCAAGATAACTAACCTAAACAGATCACTTACCTAAACAGATAACTAACCTAAACAGATGACTAACCTAAACAGATAACTAACCTAAACAGATAACTAACCTAAACAGATAACTAACCTAAACAGATGACTAACCTAAACAGATAACTAACCTAAACAGATAAATAACCTTAACAGATAACTAACCTGAACAGAAAACTAACTTAACAGATAACTAACCTAAGCAGGTAACTAATCTAAACAGATAACTAACCTAAAAAGATAACTCATCTAAACAGATAAATAACCTATACTGATATCTAACCTATACAGATAACTAACCTAAATAGATAACTAACCTAAATAGATAACTAACCTATACAGATAACTAACCTATACATATAAATAACCTAAACAAATAACTAACCTAAGCAGATAAATAACCTATACTGATATCTAACCTATACAGATAACTAACCTAAACAGATGACTAACCTAAACAGATAACTAACCTAAACAGATAAATAACCTTAACAGATAACTAACCTAAACAGAAAACTAACTTAACAGATAACTAAACTAAGCAGGTAACTAATCTAAACAGATAACTAACCTAAAAAGATAACTTATCTAAACAGATAAATAACCTATACTGATATCTAACCTATACAGATAACTAACCTAAATAGATAACTAACCTAAATAGATAACTAACCTATACAGATAACTAACCTAAACAGATAACTAACCTAAACAGATAACTAACCTATACAGATAACTAACCTAAACAGATAACTAACCTAAACAGATAACTAACCTAAACAGATAACTAACCTAAACAGATAACTAACCTAAAGAGATAAGTAACCTAAACCTAACCTAAACAGATAACTATTCTAAACAGATAAATAAACTAAACAGATAACTGACCTACACAGATAACTAACCTAAACAGATAACTAACCTAAAACAGATAACTATTCTAAACAGATAACTAACCTAAACAGATAACTAACCTAAACAGATAACTAACCTAAACAGATAACTAACCTAAACAGATAACTATTCTAAACAGATAACTGACCTAAACAGATAACTAACCTAAACAAATAGTTAACCTAAACAGATAACTGCCCTAAACAGATAACTAACCTATACAGATAACTACTTTAAATCACAGTTTCAAATACACCTACGGAACTCTTCCAAACCTACCTGATGCTCAACAAGCTTCTGATCGAATAAAATTGGACTCTTCGCGTCATTGGGTTTAATACATCTCACGTAGTAGGGTTCCTGGTTACAATTATATTCATTTTTAGCTACAAACTCAGATATATAAAATTATTGAACGACTAAAATTCTTACCACCTTTTGACCATTATTACCAACCTATGATTCCTCCAACATGGGAACATTATTTTAATTAACGTCCCATGGGAAAATTAAGCAAAATTGCCACCAGCTCTGCGAAGTTTGCGCATTTTAATCTCAAAAAGCGATAAAATTCTGAACAACAAATGTTTTGTTAAATAAAAATTTGACTTAGCTGTTGGTCTTGTGAACGAAGTATAGTAAAATTTCCTTAATTTTCCTGTTAAGTAGTTTAAAATTATTAAAAACAATAAATGAAAGAGATTTTATAACAAGGAATAATAAAATTGTCATAGGACAGTAAAACCAATTTAGAAATCCAGCACTTTAAATTAGATTAGATTTTACGGCCAGGTTGACATTAAAGAGGTAGGTTAAACCCTATAGGAGTCGACAAGAAAACAGGTAGGTTTAAGAATATAATTCCTTAGACTGAAGAGTTTTCATGAGAGCAAGCATTGAGTTCTTGAACAGTGTTCCAGCAGTCTGGGGTCTCTTGGTAGTCTGAAATATTCACACATTTTACGAAAAGGAATTTCATGATTAACCCTATTCCTGCTGGGGGGGGGGGTCAATTTGACCACCCCCCTGTAGTTTTTTTTACATAACTCAAAAAGTATTGGTCTGAGGCTGTTGAAATTTTCTGACTTTTCCTACATACCCAAAGCCTTTCCTTTAGGCCTAAAACCGGGCTTTAATACTAACTGCCTGAGTCCTCAGGCACACTGCCTGAATGACTGCCTGAATGATTAAAATTCAGGTTATTTAAAATTTCGTAAAATTTTTGCATATTTGAAATGGCATGGTCAAGGGCTTTTCAAAAATGTATAATTTTTCATTTTTTGAACAAATTTTTTTTGCAAACATTTTTACTATATAACTGGATTTTGCGATAAAAAATACAATTTTGCAAATTTGCAAATTTTTTTGCAGATTCTAAAAGTAGAGCACAAGAGCTTTCCAATGATGTATCATTTGTCATATTTGGACATCAAACATGGGATTTAGAGGGGGGTCAAATTGACCCCCCAGCATATCCTGGTTTTCAAGTACCCCAGCATAGATAGGGTTAAAGATATTTCATGCACCATTGAACCACAAATACTCGGCCAATGGCATCTTTTTCTTTTTAGATTTTCAGGTAAAACGAGAAAAAATGTTTATTATGTGAGTCATTTTAAGCACTATTTCTGTCAATTTTTGTGATAGCTTAAGATATATTTTGTAATACGATAATAGCTAAAAATATATTTTGTAATACGATAATAGCTAAAAATATATTTTGTTATACGATAAAAGCTAAAGATATATTCTTTAATACGATAATAGCTAAAATATATTTTTAAATACGATAATAGCTAAAGAAATATTTTGTAATACGATAATAGCTAAAGATATATTTTGTAATACGATAATAACTAAAATATATTTTGCAATACGAGAATAGCTAAAATTATATTTTGCAATACGATATAGCTAAAAATATATTCTGTAATACGATAATAGCTAAAGATATATTTTGAATAGACTTTCAACGTAAAATTTGTAAAAAACATGATTTTTTGTAGATATTGATTTTTCTTTTTGTACAAATACAAATATTCTACTGTTTTCCTTAAAGGGAGTGACCGGCTATGTAAGGTAGTTGAACTGAGTATGCAGTGTTGTGGAAAGCTTCTTTTGGATTCATTTGAGACATATTAAACTTTTTAAAGATCTGTAAATCCTGAGTTTGAGCGCAAATTCGACGTTCAAAACTCCTACTTTGGGGGTGGATACGTTTTCAGAATTAGTTTTTTTAAATTATTAAATAACGACAACGAAAAATAAAGTAAAAATCATTAAGTAGTCTAATTAGATGGTTAGTAACATATTTCTCAAAAGAAATTTGTCAATAAATCAACGCTCAAATCGATTATTTCGTTTTCATTATTCTATTGAATTTCTAATTTTCTTTGAATTTATTCGCAGATTTCTTCAAATTCTTCAAATGTCGTCTTTTCAATAATAGGTCTAGAAAATCTGCTAAAATCTTTGTAAATAATGAGAAACCAAAATGATGAAAAAATAGAAAATAATAATTGAACAAGATTACTTATTTTCGATGAAAAGATTAATTTTTATTTTCTCAACATGTTCCTATACATGACGTCTGTAGTTTATTGTAGAACTTTTTTACATTTTATGTCGACGTTATTTAATAATTTAAAAAAAACTAATTTTGAAAACGTATCCACCCCGAATGTAGGAGTTTTGAACATCGAATTTGCGCTCAAACTCAGGATTTACAGATCTTTAAAACGTTTAATTTCTCTCAAATGAATCCGAAACGAAACTTTCCACAACACTGCATACTCAGTTCAACTACCTTACATAGCCGGTCACTCCCTTTAAGTTAAAAAATTCTTTGAATAAAATGTTAAACCTTGGTGATATGCTCTGCTCCCTCCGGCCACATACTTCTTAATGTTTTATTCTTTGAATTCCAGAGCATTCTCTTCAAATCTTGGAACAGGGTGTCCCGGTTCTTCTCAATAAATCCTAAATAAAAAAACTGTTAAACTTAAATTTTCTTATTCCTTTAATCTTTACAACCTGATGTTGAGTAGACCTTTGATATTTCAAACTTTAACCTCTGTTAGATTAGTTAGCTCAAATTTTGAAATATCAAAGGTTTACACCATTATTAGAACCATTAGATTGTAAAAGTAAAAAATAAAATAAAAAATCTTAAAAATCATGAGTCCGACATTTTCTAAGATATTCAAAAAACTAAGTTTCCATTTTATTCCAAAATTCACCTGAGATAGTGTAGACTACATCTCCTGCATAATGTTTAATCAGGAAATTCTCCGCGTGTCCCAGTAGCTTGTTCATAGGGTCCAACCTAGATATTATTTTATATATTAAAGGGATTGTTTAGATATTCAGATAATGGGGGAGATGCCAATTATTTTATGTTATTTTTTTGTTTGTAAGATTTCTTTAAGTTTCCTTAAAATGTCAATTTTTACAAAAATCTAAAATATTTTCAACTTTTCAGAAAGGAAACCTTAATACTCGCAAAAAGATTATTTTTCTAATCCTTATATTTTTGCAACATAATTTGATAGACCTTTAGACATTTAAATTTATCCAATCAAATAGTCAAAGTTTGAAATATAAAGAGTTTTCATCACCAGGTTGCAAAGATGTATTTATTAGAAAATTATAGTTTATGGTGTCGAGTAATCAATTTTTTTCATTGTTTTTTTCATTATTTCATTATTTTGAATCCCTCCCCTGTTAACTTCAGTGTGTATACCTCCTACTGGAGTAGTGTTTGTGATCCTTGAGCTTCTGATCCATCTCCTCCAGGAGCAGAGAATCTGTAACCTTTCCAACAGTCAGGCAAGCTTCATCCAGTAGGGATATTATACCCTTGTGGGGCTGATCTAGAAATATATTCTAGTAAGGATATTATACCCTTGTGGGGCTGATCTAGAAATATATTCAATGAGGGATATTATACCGTTGTAGGGCTGATCTAGAAATATATTCTAACAAGGATTTTATACCCTTGTGAGGCTGATCTAGAAATATATTCAATGAGGGATATTATACCCTTGTGGGGCTGTTCTAGAAATATATTCTAATAAGGAAATTATACCCTTGTGGGGCTGATCTAGAAATATATTCTAGTAAGGATATTATACCCTTGTGGGGATGATCTAGAAATATATTCAAGTAAGGATATTATACCCTTGTGGGGCTGATCTAGAAATATATTCTAGTAAGAATATTATACCCTTGTGGGGTTGATCTATAAATATATGCGATATAATCTTTAAAAAATATCAGAAAAATTCGTTAAAATTAAATTTGAAAATGTCTTAATCTTTAAATTCCCTTCCTACAAATAATTCGGTTCAATATGTTAAGTCTTTGAACGTCATTAAGTTTTAACAGTAATTGTGTACATATCAATCATGTGCTAGAAAGGCCAATGTTTAATTTCTAATCTCGCAAATATAAAAGATAAAAAAGAAATCTGAGTGAAGTCATCAAAAATAAAAATTTAAACTAATAAGCCGACATTTTCTCATATTATCAAAGTACTCGATGTTACCTATAAGCTGACATATTGTCATATTATCAAAGTACTCGATGTTACCTATAAGCTGACATATTGTCATATTATCAAAGTACTCGATGTTACCTATAAGCTGACATATTGTCATATTATCAAAGTACTCGATGTTACCTATAAGCTGACATATTGTCATATTATCAAAGTACTCGATGTTACCTATAAGCTGACATATTGTCATATTATCAAAGTACTCGATGTTACCTATAAGCTGACATATTGTCATATTATCAAAGTACTCGATGTTACCTATAAGCTGACATATTGTCATATTATCAAAGTACTCGATGTGTTCCCACTGAATGCCCTCACTCATATACTCCTGTTGTTGCTGCTGTAGAACCAGTTCTAAAGAAAACAGTCAAATTGTCAAATCATTCGATTCTCTCACGTTGCACGGCAAAAAGTCTATTTTTAATTTGTACCCTAACATGTTCTATTAATTTTTCCCTTAAAAGCACCTTTTATCTATTCCTAATTATCCATAGCCGTGGTTATCGTGCTCCAGATAAGAATTCGTCGATCAAAAGCACGCACAAATGGACGGAATACCAGCCATTATTCTACTCTATTCTATCAGAATGTTCGAAAAATCGAACAGTCTTCGGTACTCTAGAGTTTAAAGGTCCATCATCCTTGTAAGCGTGCTTTGATAACAATGTCGATATATAAATTCAGGATTCTAAGATCTCATTTCTCTTTCAGTTTAATTTTAAACACGTGCTGGTATAACATTTTGAATAACTATTTAAACTTTAAAAAACACATTTCTAAACTTTCATAAATAGTTAAATTACCCTGAATTTATGTTGTTTTACAATTTATACAAATGGACGACATCTAAAGTTAAACTTCCAAAAGTTTACTCAGAAGGGTCGCCTCTGTATTGAATACAAGTATCTAAGCATTAATAATGGAGATATTTTTGTTATTCCGACTGAAAAATCCTGGTTCCGTACCTATGAAAAGTTGTTGTAACTTCTCATTACAGTAGTTGATACAGAACTGTTCGAAGCTGTTGGATCCAAATATCTCGAACCCGTAAATATCCAGAACTCCTATCACGGTAGAGTTGGGGACGTATGCCTAGACAACAAATATAGAATGAAAAATTTATAAACAAAACTATGAAGTAAAATTTTAAATATATGGATGACGATACTTCATAGAGAAAACGACTGCATAGAATGTATTCATGATTCCCTGCAGCTGTAAACTTTGATTCTTTCTTTAATAATCCTTTAGTTTACCACTAAAAAGCTGTTGTTAACTTGAGGCAAAAACACACACTATACCCTTTAATCTTATCGTTGTATTCAAAAGGTTTCCGGTCGTTATAAACATCTCATCCTTTGCGGGTAACCCTGTAGTTTGTACACACACAAAAATAATCTAAGGCTGCAGATATATCTGCTCGAAATAAGATTGATAGAAACGCAATTACGAGAAATATTACTAACTAAATTGCATCCAGTTAACACCGCCCACCAAAACACTGTTACAGCAGGGTGGTTTATTGTCCAGATTCCTGTTTTTCATTATTGCCAGGGNGGGGGGGGGGTATGAACACATGTCCTACATTTTCTAGGTGAAACTGGACACTTTGTAAATTTAAAATTTGCTGAAAATTGAACCTTCTCAATATACAATTTACAGTGCAACAAGATAAAGATAAATTATGAATTAAAAGCCTTAAATCCATGTTCCGTTGGCTTATTGGTCATAAATTCTTGTTTTTACAACTCTTTTTAAATTATACTTTTCAAATTCAAACTTTCTTGTCTTTTAATCATTTTGTATTTTTTAGGTCTGCAAATGACAAAACATATTAAAAGGTAAGACCGAATAGATTGAGTTTTATATTAAGCCCTCCCCTAATGGATTGTTTTTAGTCGAGAGTAAAATATGCTGTTTTTTCGTCTTTTAACCACTATATACAATATCTAAAAAATAAATTAAGAATCAAGATAAGTATTAAAAGGAGATGCGAAGCGCTCTGAATAATTGTTAATGTAGAAAAAAATAAACCTGATTAGTAGAAGGATCAATAGCCGAGTTAACCTGCCCTACTATCCAGGAGAATAAACGATCATACAGAGCCTGAACATGATAAATAGAGGATCATATAGAGCCTAAACATGATAAATAGACGATCATACAGAGCCTAAACATGATAAATAGAGGATCATACTGAGCCTAAACATGATGAATAGAGGATCATACAGAGCCTAAACATGATAAAAAGACGATCATACAGAGCCTAAACATGATAAATAGAGGATCATACTGAGCCTAAACATGATGAATAGAGGATCATACTGAACATGAACATGATAAATAGACGATCATACAGAGCCTAAACATAATAAATAGACGATCATACAGAGCCTGAACATGATAAATAGACGATCATACAGAGCCTGAACATGATAAATAGACGATCATACTGAGCCTAAACATGATAAATAGACGATCATACAGAGCCTAAACATGATAAATAGATGATCATACAGAGCCTGAACATGATAAATAGATGATCATACAGAGCCTGAACATGATAAATAGATAATCATACAGAGCCTAAACATGGTAAATAGACAATTATACAAAGCCTAGACATTATGAATAGACGATCATACAGAGCCTGAACATGATAAATAGACGATCATACAAGGTATAAACATGATAAATCGACGATCATACAAGGTATAAACATGATAAATAGACGATGAACATAATTAACATAAGTAAAATACATATTTAGGATAGAATAGAATACAAATAAGGTTCGTGATGAGGAGAAATTAAAAGAAAGATTATGATGAGAACTTGAGATTTGAGATAAGCTAGAGACAGGTTCAATTGTCGGGTTAGCAGGAAGTGAAACTGATCCTTGTGAACCCATAACTAGAGAATTACGGAAATTTGGGAACGAAACGTGAAACATGCACAGATAGGATCAGTACCCGGAGATACTAAGATTTCAATACATCCTTCAAGAGAGAAATCATAATTAATTTGTGAAAATACCTTCGCAAGTGCGTCACGTCCTACTCCGGCATCCTTCTCATTATGAATCTTCCTCACAACCTCTCCACTAGCAGCTATAACACGACCAGTTAAACTATCCTTGAGCTCATCCGTCCCAACCTCCAGGAGGGAAGAGATCGTGTTTACGATGTTCTCCTGCTTGATCACAGTTCCCTCGTCCTCCTGCAAATACAGGGTAATCAGTTTTCATATCGTTATATTTAAAAAGTTTTAGGTCGTCATTAACGTTTCAACCTTTGTGGGTAACCCTGTAGTAATATTATCGATACTTTATATTTTAGTATTATTTTATATTTTGCGTAGTATTATTTAATTTTTAAACAATTAAATTAGCATGTTTCCGGTTGTAGATAACAGTAATATATAATACAAGAACCAGCTGTATACATATATAATCCAGAGATAAGAGAGTAAATCAATTGAACCCTATGATATGCGATAATTTCTAGGTTCTATTGTGTACAAGTACTGTACACGACCAATCAGCAGACATCTGTATTCAGGGATATTTAAGGATTCTTTGGATTCGAAATAAAAAATATTCAAAAATAGACACAATTCATAAATTTTATGTTTCATGTTAAAAAATTGGAGTATTTCTTTAAAAATTGTAAAACTTAACCCCTGAAAGGGTATTATTTGCAACAAGTGGCCGTTAGATGGTTGTCAAAAAACCTTTCATGGAACTGTAGCATGGCGTGCCAGGACACTTTAGGCCTATCCAGGTAGAGCATGTGAGCAGTCTGGTTAGTCTGTGATATAATCAAACAAAATATTTCTTTCCTCTATGTCCAATCCAACCTAACCTAATAAAATCCAATATTTACAATGTACAATTACAAATAAGGTTGTCATTGATCTTTTAATCAAATTTTGGTATTCATTTGTCAATCTGCTTTTACATGCATGATCCTGAAAACATTAATCACAAATAAATTTACTACATAAAACCAAAATTGTCGAAATCTGAACAAAGGCTTAAAAACTTCTACTTTCTATCGTTTTTTATTAATTCCGACTTGATCATTTTTTTAATCTATCGATTGATAACATCCCTTGCAAAAATATGCATATATAAACATATTGTACGTTGTGTATGTAAAGTGTGTATGCTAGTGCACAAATGCTGTAGGTATTTTGCATCTACTAAGGAGTAATTCTTAAATACGTGTTTACAACGTGTTGAATAGGTTTTATTCAGTGCAGGAGAATAGGAGAGGATTTTTGGTTCAGTGATTCCATTATTTTTTGCATTTGTTAGAACTAGTTGAGCTAGGAGGAGAGACTGAGGGTTGGAGAGTGAGCACACAGTTTTATTCTTACTTCAAATTTAGTTTGTTTTAAAGATAACACTATCTAAAAACCGGACTTCTAAAGCAAAATCTAAGCTTGAAGTTTTTAATATCTAATAATTTGTTTGATCTATTTGAATAATAAATCATGAAAATATTGTGTGCATAAAGTATAGAGCGTAACGATGCCGGTTAATCTAGTGGTCTATCTTACTTACAAATCTAAACTTTACTAAAGCTGACTATCTGAGCTATCTATCTATCTCCTGTTTCCTATTTTGCTAGATTTTTCACATTTTAAAATTTTTATAGAAAATATGCCCCATCAAACATAACTCGAATAATTATGTCTATTTGTGAGGGATGTCTTGGAACTAATTCTGAAAACAGAAACTAAACTTTTTTTGTGTTTAGAATAAAGAAACTATTTATTTCATATCAGAGAAATGTTTTGAACGAAAACCATGTGTCTGGCCTTAATTAGATATGTTAAAATATTAACACTTTAATAAACTTTTGCTCATTTTATTTCCAGATATAAAAATAATATCTATGAAATTAAAAGAATTTTTTTTACTTTTTTTGTGATCCAAAGTAGGCCTTGATTCTCTGAAAACATAAAACTTTGGTTTACTATGGTCCTAGGTTTTCTTTTACACTTTTTTCATCCCAAGCTAAATTTACTTTGGTTCAATGTTAAGTTAATTTTCTCCGGAACTAAATAAAGTTATTTCCACTTGATCCTCGGTCTATATCTGAGTATACCTAGATACTTGTTTATTCTGGTTCAAGCGTTCCGCTTCTCAATTCTCTTTAATCCTATATCCTTGGAATTGAATTTACAAAAATCACGCTTCAATGAGTTTTCTTATTCAATCTGTTTTTTTAGATAAAACTTATTCATAACTTTTTTCATCGAATTTTTTTTGCATTAAATTCTTTTTAAAGTTTTTATAATTTTTAAATATTAAATTGCATTAGGTTCATTTCGGTCTGAGGGCAAAAGATACAGGAATTGAATTCTTTTATAATCCCTATATCTTAGGAACCTGATGGTGTAAAGCTTTTATACTTCAAAGTTAGATTATTTGATCTGATTTATAATTTGTAATATTTAAGGTCTACGACATTGGGTAAATTTAGCAAAGATATAGAAATTACAGAGTTTGTGGCAAAGACTCATTTTCTCTTTAACTGAGTTTATTCCACTGCAGCCCGGACATGCTTAACTCTAGTTAGTTTCACGTGTAGGACATAAAGAGCTAAATCTGTCGTGACTAGATCCCAGTTCTACCTCATACCTTGGTTTAGTAGTATAAATGTTGCTAAAGGGACTGTACACGTACTTTCAAGTAAATCCGCAAGTAATTTCTATAGATAAACTGCAAAACGGAAATCATCTATTTTAAGATAGAAAAACGAGAATATCTTTATAATTTTTGCTCAAACGAACGTTATAAGGCCAGGTACTGTCGTGAATTGTGTATGCAACTATTTAAATGAAAGGTCATTTACGCCTCCAGTCTCTTTAAGTACAAGTTGTAAATTCAATTGTTCAAGTTTAAGGTTTAAATTAGGAATCCTCACGCTCTGGGTTCAATACTGTCTCTATTGTCCAGATATAATTTAAACCCTGATCACTGAATATACAATATTCATTATTCCATCTCATTACAATTCTAAATACAACTTCAAGTAACTAGGTCACTAAGTTATATTTATATGAAAAAAAGTCATATTGCATTGTATTTCTGTCTAACAAAAGCATCCTTCCTCGTACGTACTATCAAATGACCCTAGTGCCTTAGAACTGAAATGAACTAAACTGAACTAAACTGAACTGAACTGAACTGAACTGAACTGAACTGAACTGATATACTTACGAGGAAGGATGCTTTTGGACACCGGAAATACAGTGTGAAAAACTGATTAAAAAATTAATTAAATAATTTACAGGTTTTTTTCTTAAAAAATCCATAACGTTTGCACAAACTCTTTATTTTAAACCTTTAATCATAATTCACTAAAACCGTTTAAACCGTTCATATATTTAGACAACCTGATAAATAAATGGATAGAAAAATAGATGGATAGATATATAGATAAATAGATGGAAAATAGAGATAGATAGATTGATAGATAGATTGATAGTTGGATAGATTGATAAATACATAGATATTTGGATAGCCAAATAGCGAGATATATAGATAGATAGATAGATGGATAAATAGATAAATATATATATTGATAGAAAGATAAATATATGGATAAATAGATGGATATATAAATAGATAGATATATGGATGAATATATAGGTGGATAGATAGATGGATATATATAAATATATATATATATATATAGATGAATAGATAGATAGATAAATAGATAGAAAGATAGAGATAGTTACAGATAAATATTAGATAGAATGAAAGACCGACCGGCAGACAAACATAGATATATAGATATATGAAGATAAATATTAATGTGGAGGTGATAATAAATATAATGGTAAATGTAAACCTTACTTAACCATCAAATTATTCAATGGTTCCTACAACCCGGAGAAATCAAGGATAAGAGATAAATCATTAAGAAGATATATAAACCCGGGAGTAAATGGGTTTCTTAGTTTCTTCCTGCAGGATTCAATAAGAGTATCTTCGACTAAGTTAAAGGTTAGATAAATACCAGGAGGGATGGAATCATAAAATAAGAGTATATTCGACTAGAGTTAAAGGTTAGATAAATACCAGGAGGGATGGAATCATAAAATAAAGATCCAGGGTTTAACAGTAGAATCAAATATCAGTAGTAAACTGAAGAATGAATGAAGGGAAGGAAAGATCCAGGGTTTAGATGTAGAATCAAATATAAGTAGTAAACTGAAGAATGAATATAAGGAAGGAAAGATCCAGGGTTTAACAGTAGAATCAAATGAGTATATTCGACTAGAGTTAAAGGTTAGATAAATACCAGGAGGGATGGAATCATAAAATAAGAGTATATTCGACTAGAATTAAAGGTTAGATAAATACCAGGAGGGATGGAATAATAAAATAAGAGTATATTCGACTAGACTTAAAGGTTAGATAAATACCAGGAGGGATGGAAGGCTCAGTAACATTTTGCCTAGTACAAGTTCGCCTAGTACACTTTCGCCTAGTACACTTTCGCCTAGTTCAAGTTCGCCTAGATAACATTTTGCCTAGATAAAATTTTGCCTAGACAACATTTCGCCTAGATAACATTTTGCCTAGATAACATTTTTCCTAGATAACATTAGAGATTAATTTTCGCCTAGATTAACATTCTTCAAATTAACCAGCTTTTGGAACAAAAAAAATACGCAATTTTTACTATAAAAATTTCACAATTTTTTTTGTAGTTTAAATCATTCAAGTTTCTACTGACATTGATGTCGACATGACGTCCTTAATTCAGGTAGGGAAAACCAAACGAGACAGACCAGCCATAATTGATAATCAACATTTCTCATATGTCTCCAATGGACCTGGTAGTCAGAAAGTTTATAATTGGCGCTGTTCAAACAGAAAATGTGATACCACCTTAGGAACAAGGAAATCGAGTGGAAACCTGGTGTTAGTGCCCTGTAAGAAAAAATTTGTAAACATTATTATAATACATTTTTTCTGCTTTTAATTGAATTTCTTGAGAAAAAAGAGGAACTTTATAAATTTTAGTGAATTTATCTAGGCGAAAATTACCTTCTAATGTTATCTAGGCAAAATGTTATCTAGGCGAAATGTTGTCTAGGCAAACTGTGTTTAGGCAAAATTTTATCTAGGCAAAATGTTATCTAGGCAAAAAGTTAGTAGGCGAACATGTACTAGGCGAAAGTGTACTAGGCGAACTTGTACTAGGCAAAATGTTACTGAGCCGGATGGAATCATAAAATAAGAGTATATTCGACTAGAGTTAAAGGTTAGATAAATACCAGGAGGGATGGAATAATAAAATTAAATTAGATGATTGTAGGAATCTAGTAGAACTATTCACCAAAGGAAAACAGATTTGTCCTTGAATAAAAAGTATTTTTTTTTTAAATGACAGGAAAAAAAGTGTCAGAAAATTACCCAAGAAAATCAGAAGACAGGTATATATTTTTACAGGAAATTCAATAAGTGCGCGTGTCGGTAATTCTTACCAGTAAAATATTAAAACATGAACCAGGAATTTTCTCAAGTTTTATCTTAAGAAACGTGCCTTGTCTCCAGGAAAATATTAAAAAACGTGCCTTGTTTTCAGGAAAATATTAAGAACCGTGTCTTGTCTCTAGGAAAATATTGAGAAACGTGCCTTGTATCCAGGAAAATATAAAGAAACGTGCGTGCCTTTTCTTCCAGAAAAAATTAAGAAACGTGCCTTGTATCCAGGAATATATAAAGAAACGTGCCTTGTCCCCAGAAAAAAATATTAAAAAACGTGCCATGACTCCAGGAAATATTAAAAAAGGGTCTTGTCTACAGGAAAATATTAAGAAAAGCGCCAAGTCTCCAGGAAAATATTGCAAATAAAAAATAACTAACCTTTGGGATGAAATCAATATTTCCTAGATGAAGAATAGAGGCGAGAACTCTCCAAATAGTATTAGTTGACTCATCGTTGAACCCAAGACGTTTAATAGCTTGAGAAACCCTGTTATAGTCCTGACTCCGGGTAGATCCAACAGACCTTTTATCAGAGCTATCCGCGGCAAGAAATCTAAAGTTTGAAAAATATATATATAAATATGTTTGCAGGACGCATTTCGGAATCGCGGCCCATCTTTCCATTAGCTTTTATTTGCTGATCTATCTTCAACCTGTTCGCAGATTTTGAGATTATAAAAATAAAAATATCGCAGGGTTTCTCTTTTATACTGGCTGACTTCAAAAAATAAAAAATAATAATTCTAATGCATTTTTGTTGATATTACCGAAAATAAACTTATCTGGCATGGGACCATATGATTTCCCAGAAAAAAGGTCGTTTTAACATTTGTTAGATACAAATATATATATATATAGGTGTATAAAGCATATATATAATTTTTCCATTATAAAATTAAAAATGAATATATCCGAGTTATTGCTTTTTAAATCTGTGTAAAGTGAATGTAAAAGATAAGAAATGTATCAGAATAAAAAGTTTAGGCCACGATATCTCTCCTGAGTCCTTATCTTGTTTACTCTCAACACTCCATCCAATAAAAATATCAATATCTCAGCTTTACAAGAGAGGAAATGTACCTGTAATCTTCGGTGGATTTGGTGAGCTTGAGCTTTTTTATTTCTTGCTCCGGGGCTCCCTGGAGCAGGAGGTAGAAGGCGTGGAAGTTCTTTTCTCCGGGTTGTTGTTGAACTACTCGGGATTTCTCCAGGAGGTAGTTGTTTATGTGTCCACCGATAGGATCACCTAAAAATATATCTCATTTATCCTCAACATTTTTGGCTTTTTTTGTTCAAGACACATTTCCCCAATAGAATGAAAATTTATCCATTTTGCATATTTTGGAGGTTTTATGCACGAGAAGAACTTTTAAATAATGCTTCTTTAAATCTTAAATCTTATTTCCAACGGAAACAAAATTAACCCTTTAATATTTATGTGTGTCGCCATTAAGTCCGCACTAAAAGTAAGTTCTTTTACCTTTAAAATCAAAATTGATATCCATATATTTTCCAAATCTTGAAGAGTTATCATTCCTATTAGTCTGAGCGTTTCCAAATGCCTCCAGTATATCATTAGACTGGAGAAGAACGTCTTTAACCCGTTCTATCTCCGCCTGCCCTGCTGTATTCGTGACCTAAAACAAGTTTTATTAAAGCAAAATAGTTTGAAAGGAAATGATTATGGAGTTTTAAAAATAATCTAAAATCGATTTATTTGTTTTATTTTTAAAAAGGGATTAATTACCTTCGCAATATATCTCATGATAACCTTGCTAGCTTCAGTCTTACCACTTCCAGATTCACCTAGAACAGGTTTAATCGATATTTATTCAAAAAAAGGTTTGATTATTGATAGAACTCTTTGGTTCAAATCAATAATGTTAAAAAAAGTTTTTAGTATCAAGAGAATTTATAGGTTTAACCGAACATTATTTCTGGAAAAGGTTTAAGAATTAAAAGTAGGTTTAATTGTTAATTGGTGCTTGTTAGAACAGGTTTAACAATAAATCGAACTCCTAAAACATGTTTAATGAATAAAATTACTTCTGAAACAGCAAAAAAGTACATTAGGTTGCAAAGATATAGCGACTAGAAAATCTGAGCTTGTGGCAACGACTCATGATTCCTGTTAAATAATCTATTTATTTCAACCTGTAAAAAATGTTTAATGTTAGAACAATAAAAAGCATTATTGACCTGTCAAACTACATTTATATTTTGAAGTGTAAGAACATAAAAACTGTTTATCTTTAATCCGTAGATGGGGTTGGATTACTTGGAAACTTCAGTAAAAGCTTTGAACTTTACTACTTTACTTAAACAAAATGGATTCCAAAAAATAACACGTTTTTTTAATATTTTTATTTGTTAGGAAAACTGTTCTTTTTTTATTGAAAAAGTAGTTGTTGTCAGTCTTTCAACTTTTTCTCTTCGATAAAACATTAAAAACAAATTTTGTTTATTTACAACTTTTTTCGTGGATTTTCAAAATTTTCCGAAAATAAAAATTTTTTTAGAGACAACTTTTTATAATTCTGATGAGCATTCTGAGCACCTTCCCTGGTGTCATCTGAGGTCCCACACAACATTTGGGCCTGATCGGTTCAGCTGTTTTGACGTTTATTGGATACAAACAAACAAAGAAACAGCAAGACAAGAATGGTATATACATAAATTTATTGTAAAGAAAATCTAAAATTAAAATAGTTATATCTTCAAGCATGTTTTTCAATTTTTCATATAAAGTTATATCGAAAAATATATATATATATATATATCGAAAAAACTAAATGTTCCAGGTTTAGGCCTCACAGTAAAAAAATATGATCTGAAGATAGACGAAAATAAAAGTTTTCTTACTTTCTTTAAAATAGATTATATAAGTTTCGATTTACCAACATTATCTCAAATTTCATTGTAAAATAGTTTAATAAGATCATAAAATATATAAAATATTATCAAACAGAAACAGTTTTTGTTTCATTTTTTAATTTATTTTCATAACAATGATTCTTGTGTTATAAAGTCTTTAATTTCATCGATTATCTTTCTCTAATAAAAATATTATTATCTAAACTATCATAATTCATTCTTCATAATTCAAATCTTTTAAGGGTTTGTTCCCTATAAATAAAAGGAGATGTATTGTAGAATGAATCCAATTCGATTTTGGCATAGAAAACTTTTAATCAAAAATAATTTAGAACAATTTCAGTTTTAACCTCGATAATAGATCTTTTAAATCTTTGGAAAACAATTTTTACAAAAACACATTTGCTCCCTTTTTATTTTTTTTATTTTGAGAAAACATTTTAAAGGGAAAAAATACCTGAAATAACTATACAAGTATCCTTCCCATTTCTTCGCATAGACTTATATGCAGCATCTGCTATGGCGAAAATATGAGGAGGACGCTCAAATATCTCACAATAATAATAATAATAATAATAATAATAATAATAATAATAATAATAATGATAATAATAATACCTTTGTACTGATTGACCACCTCATCACTGTATACATTAAGGTTAGTGTACGGGTTGACCGATACACAAACCTCGCCGATATATGTATAGATCTGGTGGGCCTCGTGTCTAAATAAATAGATAAATAAATATTTAGAAAAATAGATGATTAAATAATAAATAGATGAATTAATTAACATCTGAGGATAAATATTTAAAGATTTATTTGTTCTACTAAAATAATATATGTAATAAAACAACCCAGGGGGGGGGTTGAATCTACACCTTAATTTTGACTTCTCCAGAAGGGGGTACGGCTAAATTATTCTACCCCCTAAAAGTATTGGGTCTGTCCTAGAGAACGATTTTTGGACCCCCCCCCCCAAATGAACCTGAAAACTATGACGAACGGTATTTAAAAACACTTGTGACTAAAATATAACAACGTTATATAGGACACAGCATATGCATTTAGATGGCTGCAATTTCAATCCTTTTTTAAAAGATTTTTATTCAAACATTGCTAAGAAAGTTTTTGATGTAAAATGGTCTTGTAAACTTTAATAAGCAAAAAAATGTTATGCCTGTTAATATCAATATAATTTCAACAAAAACTAAAAGAGGAAAAATTTGGAAATTATTTTTACCCCGGTATGTTTATATTCCTGCCGAGTAAATTTAACTTCCTATTTCCGGTATATCTATTATCCACGTTATCAAGTCAAAAAATCAAAAATAAATAAAATATTATTGTTAAGGAAAACTTTTTGAAACTCTCTTCTCATTTCTTTATAAATAATTTGTCAATTAACAATTATTTAGCCATATACCATACTTCTAAGTAAATAATTAAAGGCATGGTAATAAGACAAGGAAAGTTAATTGCTGTTTCGTATTCTCTACGTACATATTGAAACCAGTTCTCTCTGGGCGGTGTTTGTAAACAAGAATAGATGCATCAGTGTTCCTCTAGTATCCGAGGAGGATAAAATCATTTAATCTTGAAAATTTTGATAATTCACTTAATAGTTTCCTATGACCAAAATATTTTATTGTTTTTTTTTATGTGAAAGATGGATTCCATTTCAGGATTTGGGCCTTGTGTTTACTTTAAAGCCCAGAGACAGTACACTGCAGTACTAAAAATGCGTACACCTCTAAAATAACTATCTTTACATAATAATTCTTTGCTTGAAGGGATGAGAGTGTAAGTTCAAGTGACACATGAAAATAATTAGTTTTCAAAATTATAAACATTAATATATCTTTACTTAATGCTTAATCAGACAAAGCTTTTAAGGGTACCGTATATAGTGAATCGGGCATTGATGGTAGATCACTTGAAGTCCCTTTAGTCGACTAATGTTTATGAGGAAGTACTGTTTAATTGTTGATGTGTGTCTACAAAGTTAATAGTCAATGTAATCTTTGAAGCATTAAGTATTTATAAGTTAAGAATAATTCAAGATGAAATATCTTTTTAACTTTGTTATTGTTAATATAAAATCTCAAGGTTTGTTAAATCTGTTTAACGTCACTCAATCCTTATCATTCAATTTGCATTGACTTAGTTCACCGGATACATGTACACTAACTCAGAGTATACACTAGCTCAGAGTATACACTAGCTCAGAGTATACACTAGCTCAGAGTATACATTAGCTCAGAGTATTCACTATAGCTCAGAATATACATTAGCTCAGAGTTTACACTAGCTCAGAGTATACCCTAGCTCAGAGTATACACTAGCTCAGAGTATACCGTAGCTCAGAGTATACACTAGCTCAGAGTATACACTAGCTCAGAGTATACACTAGCTCAGAGTATACGCTAGCTATACACTCGCTCAGAGTATACACTAGCTCAGAGTATAAATTAGCTCAGAGTATACCTATAGTTAAGAGTATATGTACAATAGCCTCGCCCTAAAAGAATACACTATACCTCATAACATATCATGGAAAGAATTTAAAAAAAATATTAAAATCTTGAAAATTGTCCATGACGTCACAACAGTTAAGTTCCTTGTTCTTAACCCCTCTCCCCCCCCCCTTCCTTTCCAGTCCCTGCACTAACGTTTTATTTAGTCGAGATATAAACTAAGAAATTAAATGCTGTGCCACTCCTTTATTGTGCTCTTCTTAGTAACCGCCAAAAAAGTTCCCTGAACAAAGTCCTAAATCTGGCCCTTAAAAAGTACTGTGAAAAAAAGTCCTACCATTTTGTGACTTTATATTCTGGTACCTAGTACTCATAAGTTCACTTTGCTCGTCTAAACCTTTAGTTACAAACCAAAATGGGAATTGACTCGAATTAGTACAAATATCTAGGAATGTTAAGTCTGGTTTAGTTTGAGTTCAATTCCTCTCTTGTTTCTAAATATTCCTTGGTTTACTTTACATCCAGTTTAATCCAGAATTCTTTAAAGCTAGCTGAACTCTATCGATTTTTTATAAAATTGGAAATATAAGATAGGATTAACTTAAGTTCTTATATACAGAATAAACACAGGATATTTTAAACCGAACTGTATCAGAGACAGATTTTTAAAGCGGATTAAAATTTTAGAAATTTTGTTTTCTATTCTTTAATCATTTCTTACGATTAACCATTTCCTCTTAAGATGATTTTAAACGTATTTAACCCGTAAGTGCAGTGTGACCCACTAAACGTATTTAATCCGTGTGTGCAGTGTGACCCACTAAACGTATTTAACCCGTGTGTGCAGTGTGACCCACTAAACGTATTTAATCCGTGTGTGCAGTGCGACCCACTAAATGTATTTAACCCGTGTGTGCAGTGTGACCCACTAAATGTATTTAACCCGTGTGTGCAGTGTGACCCACTAAACGTATTTAATCCGTGTGTGCAGTGCGATCCACTAAATGTATTTAACCCGTGTGTGCAATGCGCCCCACTAAACGTATTTAATCCGTGTGTGCAGTGTGACCCACTAAATGTATTTAACCCGTGTGTGCAGTGTGACCCAATAAATGTATTTAACCCGTGTGTGCAGTGCGACCCACTAAATGTATTTAACCCGTGTGTGTTAGTGCGACCCACTAAATGTATTTAACCCGTGTGTGCAGTGTGACCCACTAAACGTACTTAACCCGTGTGTGTAGTGTGACCCAATAAATGTATTTAACCCGTGTGTGCAGTGCGACCCACTAAATGTATTTAACCTGTGTGTGCTGTGCGACCCACTAAATGTATTTAACCCGTGTGTGTAGTGTGACCCACTAAATGTATTTAACCCGTGTGTGCAGTGTGACCCAATAAATGTATTTAACCCGTGTGTGCAGTGCAACCCACTAAACGAATTAAACCAGTGTGTGCAGTGCGACCCAATAAATGTATTTAACCCGTGTGTGCAGTGCGACCCACTAAACGAATTAAACCAGTGTGTGCAGTGCGACCCACTAAATGTATTTAACCCGTGTGTGCAGTGCGACCCACTAAATGTATTTAACCCGTGTGTGCAGTGCGACCCACTAAATGTATTTAACCCGTGTGTGCAGTGCGACCCACTAAATGTATTTAACCCGTGTGTGCAGTGCGACCCACTAAATGTATTCAGTATGCAGTTTTTCATTTTTTCTATTTCATACTTTTTTTATGGACTGAGCAAATGGTGAATGTTAAAGCAAAACATTGTATTTTGTTTGATGACTTTGATGCCAGATTATACTGTGTTATTTACAGTTTTGCGTGTTCTTATTTACAGTTTTTATGGACTGAGCAAATGGTGAATGTTAAAGCAAAACATTGTATGTTGTTTGATGACTGTAATGCCAGATTAAACTGTGTTATTTACAGTTTTGCGTGTTCTTATTGCTTTTAGAAAAGATCTGGAACATTTGAATCTGTTTTTTTAAATAAGCTAATTAATAAAGATTCTAATTGAATTATTTGAAAAATATGGCACCAAATAAATAAAAAATGTATTCTCAATCATCAAGGATCAAAAATCGTAAATGATTAATTGACAATTATAATTTGATCAACAATTGTTAACGATCAATGTACAATAAATAGATTTGAAAACCTTGAAATACACATGTACGCTAACTTTTGCTACAGATGTTTTTTTATTGAACGCAAATGTTTAAAATAAAATTTTTACTCAAAATCTACGTGTAAAGTAAGAAATTTGAGTTTTTAGGAAAAATTGTAGAAATACGAAAAATCTACATTTAGAGTAAAATAGGCTTGAAAGTGAAGGCAAACTGACTTTTAATCTGTAATATATACATTTCCAATTGATGTAAATAAACACAAACGAACAGGTGGTTTCATATGTATATAGATATATAAATATATAAATATTTATTCCTAAAGATTCACCTGCACGTACAATATGATTAATATTTAGAGGACTTTTATATCTATGCAACACATTACAACCCAAGCAGACACGGCTAAGTGGCTGGAGCTCAACCCTAGAGCTCAACATAACATTGTCTTCCGGACATGATACTTTGACTGTAGTTTTATTGCTACTAAATAATAATAATAATATTTGTACAGCGGAACTTTTGTGTGAAATATTGTTAATCTTGAACAATTCATCTCGATGTGTAATGCAGGGGGAACTTTCAATTTAAGAATTGATGTTTGATCCTTCATTTCAGTTATCTCTGTGTAAGTATGTGGAATTAAATTTAAAGGAACCTGCTATTTAAGGTAGTTAAACTTAGTACGCAGTGTTGTGGACAAATTCTTTAGGATTCATTTGAGACATATAAACGTTTCCACGATGTATAATTACTGAGTTTTTAAGTGCAAATGCCAATTCCCGATTCACAACGGTACCCTTAAAAGCTTCCTTTTAATAATATATTAATGTTTATAATTTTGAAAACTAATTATTTCAATTGTGGTTTTACTACAAAAGTGCGCATTTCTACTGCAGGAAAACATATAGAAATTAACACAATTAAATACTCTTAGACATAGAAAAAACATAATATCTTCTCCATTATTGATCTTGATCCAATTAAAAACAACACTCAAAAATTAAAACTGAAGAGGGCCAACCCAGACCGAATAATATTTTTGGAAAAATAAATTAGAATTTAATATCTGTAGTATTTTTGTTAAAGTTAAGGCTTGGCTAGGTAACGGTTTAGGAATTGAGTGGGTTGAGGAAGGATGAATTGAGTGGGTTGAGGTAGGATGAATTGAGTGGGTTGAGGTAGGNCCCCCCAACCAGGTTTAGAAATTTTTAGGATTTAATTCCCCTACCCCCTGCTATTCGTAGCAGGGGATTAATCATGTAATGTTATACTGGACTCCGGGGGAATATTTGATATCAGCCATGTCAACAATAGGTTTTAAGTTAATTAGTTTTACTAAATATAATCTAAACTTGGGGCATCCAGGTATACAATACGCTACACAATACATACCTTTTATAGTCATGTATTAAACTGTTTGCTTGAATATCCAAGTTTAAGAGCTCTTATAAATTATTTATTTACATGATGAACCATTTAGGAATAAGAATGCAAGTATGTTACTTCATGAAGGAAAGGAATGCAGGTATGCTACTATATGAAGGAAAGGAATGTGTATACTACTTCATGAAGAAAAGGAATGCATATATGTAGAAAAAGGACTGTATGTGTACTACTATATTACTCCAGGAAGAAAAGGTATATATGTATGTATACTCCATGAAGGAAAATAATGTATTTATACTACTCCATGAAGGAAAAGAATGTATATATACTACTCCATGAAGGAAAGGCTTGTATGTATACTACTCTATGTAGGAAAGGAATGTATACATACTACTCCATGAAGGAAAGGAATGTATGTATACTACTCCATGAAGGAAAGGAATGTATGTATACTACTCTATGTGGGAAGGAAAGGCTTGTATGTATACTACTCTATGTAGGAAAGAAATGTATGTATACTGCTCCATGAAGGAAAGGAATGTATGTATACTACTCCATGAAGGAAAGGACTGTATGTATACTACTCTATGTAGGAAAGGACTGTATGTATACTACTCTATGAAGGAAAGAAATGTATGTATACTACTCTATGTAGGAAAGGAATGTATGTATACTACTCTATTTAGGAAAGGAATGTATGTATACTACTCTATTTAGAAAAGAAATGTATGTATACTACTCCATGAAGGAAAGGAATGTATGTATACTACTCTATGTAGGAAAGGAATGTATGTATACTACTCTATAATGTATGTATACTACTCTATTTAGGAAAGGAATGTATGTATACTACTCTATTTAGAAAAGAAATGTATGTATACTACTCCATGAAGGAAAGGAATGTATGTATACTACTCCATGTAGGAAAGGAATGTATGTATACTACTCTATTTAGGAAAGGAATGTATGTATACTACTCTATGTAGGAAAGGAATGTATGTATACTACTCTATGTAGGAAAGAAATGTATATGTACTACTCTATTTAGGAAAGGAATGTATGTATACTACTCTATTTAGGAAAGGAATGTATGTATACTACTCCATGAAGGAAAGGAATGTATGTATACTACTCTATGTAGAAAAAAAATGTATATATACTACTCTATTTAGGAAAGGAATGTATGTATACTACTCTATGTAGGAAAGGAATGTATGTATATTACTCTATTTAGGAAAAGAATGTATGTATACTACACCATGAAGGAAAGGAATGTATATATACTACTCTATGTAGGAAAGGAATGTATGTATACTACTCTATTTAGGAAAGGAATGAATGTATACAACTCTATTTAGGAAATGAATGTACATATACTACTCCATAAAGAAAAGGAATGTATACTACTCCATGAAGGAAAGGAATGTATGTATACTACTCTATTTAGGAAAGGGAATGTATGTATACTACTCTATTTAGGAAAGGAATGTATGTATACTCTCCATAAAGGAAAGGAATGTATACTACTCCATGAAGGAAAGGAATGTATACTACTCCATGAAGGAAAGGAATGTATATATACTACTCTATGTAGGAAAGGAATGTATGTATACTACTCCATGAAGGAAAGGAATGTATATATACTACTCTATGTAGGAAAGGAATGTATGTATACTACTCCATGAAGAAAAGAAATGTATTTATACTACTATACAACTAAATGAAGGAAGGACTGTGTGAATCCTAGTCCCGGTTAATATTCTAAGTATTTGATGATTCATCCTTTGTTTCTAAACCAGTCCTGAGTTCCTGAGTAAGGTTCAAACCGTGGATTATATATATCCTTGGTAGATAGAGTTTTTAGATTTACAAAATCCAATATTAAACATTTGTACACTTCAAAATACAATTCATATCTATATATTTATGTCTAAATTACATAAAATTATATAAACATATATCTGCTATGTTTGGATATTAATACATATTTTATTATTTAAAACGTTTCCGGTGTAAATATAGAATACTAATTATACGCCCGTTTAGTTCAGTTTAGACTAAATATGTTCTTGATCTTATTAAAAACATAAAAAAAATATTTCTGTTTATAAACCTTAATATTACAACAAAACAAAACTAGAGCATATTTTTCTTCTTAAGTATTTAAGGCATAATAATAATAATAATAATAATAATAATAATAATAATACTAATAATTTTGCAAAAGGAAATTTATATATTTATTTAGATTATATTCGCAAAAATGTCTTCTATTTGTGACGGTATAGCTGTTTTAAATATATTATATGTACGTATATGTCAGCAGAATAATAAAAAAAAACATGATGATGATGGAACAAGAAAGGGTCGGGTCCCTGGGATTTGTTATACCCATGTAGCTCCGAGTAAATTCTTTAATGATTAAGAATAAATTGCAAATAGAAATCTGGAAGGATTTAAAGTTAATCATCCTTTTCCATCAAATATTCAGATCATTTTAAATATCTAGACGACTAACCTGATCTTGAGGTTCTTAATGAACGCTGGCAGTTCTATCTTCTCCATCAGGACAAAGTCCCCGAGCCCCACCGTAGTGTGTAAAGCCATCTTGAGAAGAGGCTAAACCAAGAAGAAATTCGAAACCACGGTTCACTCTGTACACTGTACAGTGTACATGTGTACAAGCCAGTTAAAAGTGTCGGTGTTATCTTTGAAAGTACACGGGTTTGAGTTCACTGTAATGCTCGTGAACCCACTGGGGGTCTAGACCTGACTGTTGAATATAGTATAACTATAATCTAGAGTCTATAAGAGAGCCGACACACCGTGCGGTTGTTGTCACGACTCAACAGGTACCGGCTTACATATACTCAACCTATATGTAGGCGTAGGAACACACCCATTTTCTAGCCCGTCTGTAACCAGGACCTTTGGTTTCCAGTCCGTTTTTAACTGGAACACTTGGATTTCAGCCTTTCTTTAGCCAGGACAAATTTAGTGTTTTAATTTACCTTTTGATTCCAGCCTTTCTTTACCCAGAACCTTTGGTTTCCAGCCCGTCTTTAACTAGACCTTTGGATTCCAGCCTTTCTTTAACCAGAACCTTTGGTTTCCAGCCCGTCTTTAACTAGACCTTTGGTTTCCAGCCCGTCTTTAACCAGGGCCTTCGCCCACTTTAACCACGCCCTTTGATTCCAACACCAATTATACCAGGACCCTTGAATTCCAACCCACTTTATACCAGGACCCTTGGATTTTAGCTCAACTTTAAACCAGGAACCTTGAATTCCAACCCACTTTAAACCAGGACCCTTGAATTCCAACCCTCTGTAAACCAGGACCCTTGGATTTTAGCTCAACTTTAAACCAGGAACCTTGAATTCCAACCCACTTTAAACCAGGACCCTTGGACTCCAACCCACTTTAAACAAGGACCCTTGAATTCCAACCCACTTTAATCCAGGACCCTTGGATTCCAACCCACTTTAAACCAGGACCCTTGGATTCCAACCCACTTTAATCCAGGACCCTTGGATTCCAACCCACTTTAAACCAGGACCCTTGAATTCCAACCCACTTTAAACCAGGACCCTTGGATTTTAGCTCAACTTTAAACCAGGAACCTTGAATTCCTACCCACTTTAAGCCAGGACCCTTGGATTCCAACCCACTTTAAACCAGGACCCTTGAATTCCAACCCACTTTATACGTACAGGACCCTTGGAATTGGATTCTAGCTCAACTTTAACCAGGACACAAGGGTGCCAACTAACCTTATAAAAGGACCCTATGGATTCAAGTCTACCTTTAACCAGGACTACCAGGACACAAGGGTTCCAGCAACCTTACAAAAGGACCCTAGGATTCAAGTCTACCTTTAACCAGGACACAAGGGTTCCAGCAACCTTACAAAATGACCCTAGGATTCAAGTCTACCTTTAACCAGGAAAGTTAATTGCAGTTGTGTATGCTCTGCGTAGTGCGTATTTATTGAAACCAGTTCTCTCTGGGCGGAATTTGTAAACAAGAATAGATATGAAAGATGGATCCCATGTCAGGGTTCGACATCCGTCTTGTGTTTACATTACCGCCCAGAGTTGTATACTGCAGTAAAAAATATGCGTACACCTCTGACATAACTTTCCTTGCATTAATCTTGCCTTTAACCATGTCCCTTTGTTTACAGCCCTTAAATTAAACCCGTGCATAAACCATTGGATTGTCATGATTATGACATAATCTATATATTTCTCATAGATAATAAACTCAGTCTATAGTTCTCCTTTGGAATTAGAAGATATAGACATATAAACAGATACACACATTCCAAACATAATTGCAAAGATTCTTATGATATCTACTGAGCATCAGCAATTTACAGTGTACAGTGTACACACATAGTTAGTAGTCATATGTTTGTTTATAAGGTTAGATACTCTGGATTCGCCTCAATATAGGTAAATGTCGCCTTTTTACACTCTAAATCCTCATATGACGTCACTGATACTTAATTAACAATAATCACATTGAACAAATGTTGATTGTGCTTACAAGCTTGAAGCTAAAAAATATTATTCTAATTGTTGTTTTGGCGTTTATTGGATACAAACAAACAAAAAGACAAGCATGCAAAGTAATATACAAAGATGTCAGTGCATACTTTCTTTGAATGAAAAGAAGGAATTTTTTGCACAATTTGCTGAGGTCATCGATGACGATATTCAATACATTTGAATCAAGAAACCTACTTCAACTAAGCTTTCGGTGTGCAATGCAGTGATTTGCAGTACACTGACCGAAGTAGAGTTTAGAGGGGGACATCTTCAAAATTGTGTGATCACCCACTTAGCCTCCTCCATACGCCTCTGGCACTGCCCCTTTGCCTCTCCCTGTATATGCTTTTTTGATCAAAAGGTTGTTCTCTGTTCAAGAAAATAGAAAGATTTTCTATCTATAAATATGTCGGTTTTAAACATCGTCTTCTTGTAAAATCATTCTTTAACGGAGAATATATTATTGTTCTGTGATTAATCATATGTTACATAGTTATAAACATCAAAGTTCAGAACATAAACAAAGAATTATAGTTTACAGGTTTCTAAAATAATCAATAATTGTTTTATTTACAGTTGGGATATATAATCAATTAATTGATCAGACAAGGTTTGAAGGGTACTGTTGTGAATCCAACATGGCCATATTAGTATTGAATGTGACTTGAAATTCCATAAAAAAATGAAAACGTTTCAAATATATCAGTATTGATTAGTTTGAACTGTTTTATCTAGGGTTTGAGAATCTTGTTCAGTTTGTTTTATAATATTGCTTTTCAAGATATCATTCATATATTTAATAATATTTAATAAGTAAAGATTATTTCATAAGGAGGGGAACAAAGCAACCAAATTCATATATTTAATAATATTTAATAAGTAAAGATTATTTCATAAGGAGGGGAACAAAGCAACCAAATGTTTGTTATTTTCAAGTTTAAATTCCATCATATTTCTAGTTCTCAAAATCTAACCTTAAGAATGGAATTGAGTTTTAGCTACAAATTAAAATTTTCTATTCCCTATATCTTTGCAACCCGATGGTGTAAACCTTTGATATTTCAAACTACAATTATTTGATCAAACAGAGTTCATAGTTTGAAATATCTAAGATCTACGACATCGGGTCGCAAAGATATAGGGGTTAGAAAGTCAGAGTTTGTGGCAAAAACTCAATTCCTTTGCGTTTACATTTAAAATTAGGCTTTCAGGGGTTTCATAAATTCTTTTATTGTACGTACTTTAACGTAGTGTAAATCTTACCATAAAAAATACCATTTGTCTTTTAATTCTGAAGTTCTTAGCAAGGACACCAACCCAACCGTGCAGGACGTTTTTGGGAGGAAAAAAATATTCTTTTAGACATAATGAAAATAAACTCTCAAACAATGGCGGCATCTTTTTGCAAGCTTCGTACATCATTGAAGAACAACAAAACAATTTAAAAATATTCTTGTTTTAAACCTTTGATATTTCAATCTTGGCCTATAATTAAACATACTAGAATAGTATGAAATATCAAAGGTTTGAGTTTGTGGCAGAAACTCAGTTACTTAAAAAAGGAACACGCAAAAGTAACAATTATCTGTTTATAAAGGATATTGCTACATAGTCAAGTAAAGAGACAAAATATTGATGATATGATACAGATACTTTTTAAGAATTCATTGATATCTATAATTTAAAAAAAATACTTAATTACAAAAAAAAGGCAATTTATACAGTGGGGCCCACAAAACTGTGGAATAGGAGGATGACATTGAAGCAATCTTAATTTACATAGTAGCTTGATAATCATGCAACTTATGAAGTTAATTGGGCTTATGTATTGTGAATAACACTGCACAATAGTTGTGTTTCATGCTCTTTACAGCAGTCGTCTTTATATTCCACAGTTCTACGGGTCTCATTGTACGCTTCCGTGTAATAGTTCTCTGACCAGAAAAGTGTAAAAGTTCTTCTCACAAACTCTCATTTTTAAACCCCTGTATCTTTGCAACCCGATTTCGTAGACCTTCGATATTTCAAACAGTGACATATGAAAGATTTACACCATATATTATAAGGTTGCAAAGATTTAGTCAAAAAATTAGCAAAGGTAACTTAAAAATAATACAAAGGGAAAAAATTGAACATTCATAGAATCCTTTTTAAACGATTTATGGTAAATTAAGTGTCTTTCCTGTGTAAGAGTGATTTGCCCTCCTGTTTACCCTGTGTGCCCCACCCCCTGCAAAAACTTTCAGTTACCGGCTTGCCAATATCTAAGCCTGACCCGGCCTTCCCTGGACCCTCATAGACAGTAGATTTACTTTTATATGAGAATATGAATAGAAGTTTCCCCATTCATACTTATGCAGTAACATCCTACTTTAATATCTAGATAATTCAGTTTACATACAGGATATATCCTTATAGATAAGGGATCTTTAGTATGTATCACTCAGATACAACTATGCTCTCTATAATACTCAATCTCTATCAATCCAGATAAGACGCTGTTGTATTCTTTAGTATGTATTACTCAGATACAACTAGCTCTCTATAATACTTAATCTCTATCAATCCATATAAGACGCTGTTGTATTCTTGAGTATGTATTGCTCAGATACTACTAGTTCTCTGTATTCTTTTGTATCTGTCCCACCAGATACAACTCAATCCATCTTGTTCGCTACACGCTACACCTTAATCAAGCACAGTATTTTTCCAAATAAGTATATTTTGAGTTCCATGGTACAGGTTAAATTACGTAATTACAAGTTTTACATAGTTATTGATAAGCGTAGTTAGGTTTAATCACAATACAGGTTTGACGCAGTTGTTTACAAGTGTAGTTCGGTTACAATGTACAACAAGGTGTGTTCGGGTTTATAAATATAGGGTTTGCTACGATATTTATTACAGTGGGAGTATGGAAGGGGATGGGGAGGTATACCGTTTACTTAAATGGATAATAATTGAGTGATGGGGTGAAAGTGAGAGAAATGGTATATAAGAATGTTTCATGCATGCATGAATGAATGATAGATGGGTTTAGGACAGAGGTATCTTATAAGGGGGGGGGGGGGCACGGACAACTAAAGGTCCTGTTTAAAAGTTCATTTTCCCCCAATGAATATAGATTTAGCATGTTGGCTTTTTTTTTTACTTTTTTGCTGTATTTAATATTTTTAAGTACAATTGATCACTTTTGTTATTTTTGACAAGGTTTGAATAAAAGATCAAAATATGACTAAACATATTCAAATTATTGTTTTTAAGGCTAAATTGTAAGTTTTTCATTTTTGTATTAGATATAAAAATTTAGAGAAACACATGGACAAAGGTTTCCTTTTTTTAAAGGATTGAAAATTAACAAAAATTACGTTGAAAAGCATACCTAAAAGTATCATATACCGACCTAATAATGTATTAGATCTTAAGATAGATTAGGTCAACACACATTGATGCCCACTGCAAACCAACATGTGCAACCTCTTATAAAAAATTCTGGCAGTATTTTTCCAATTACTCCTTTCAAACTTAAGCTAGAAACAAGCGCGTTGTGTTTTAAAATGAGTGTATGTCTAGGGCTGCAAAAAAGTATATGCAAATTGGTGAGATAAAACCATAGACCAAGGCGTAGTGACACTTTAGAGTCGAGGCGGTCTAAAATTTTAATGACTAAGTTTAGTTGTCTTTTCCTATAACGTGGATGCGGAGAGGTAAAGCTTTTAATTTACTTGTAATCTTGATTAAAACTGCACATTAATTAGTTTAGATATCCTGAAGGTAGTATATAATCGTATCGAAGGTGGGGGGGGGGGG